AGCGCCGCGCACATGTGCTCCGACAGTTTACAGCAGTTTCGCGCGTGCGTACGGTTGAAGTCGCAGGAATGTTGTCCTGGCACAGTCGGTCACGTTGATTAGTCTCCACGGCCAATGCTGGAGATGGTACCCGCACAGAGGACCCACACGAGCAGCAAGCAGATTTGCTGGAGCAAAGCAGAGGGGCTATGCCAAGGGTGCGAGCGAACGATGCTACAGGTAAGTTGAAATATCAAATCTGTTCAACAAGGGTGGGGGAGGGAGGAGAGAGGAGCCAAGAAAGGAGGAGGTGAGGAGAGGAGGGGAGGATGAGCTGCGCCAACACAATGGGGCAGCAACTCGAGCCCACTGGTGGCCAATCGCGGCTTTCAGGGGAAGACGGGGCGAAGCGCCCGGCAAGTATACTTGCCGTGGCGCCGGCGCCACCCGCGCGGAAACGACGGGCCCGCAGGCAGATGGATTGCGCAATGAGGAAAACTACGCTCCTTCTGCGCAGCGCCACCTGGGATAGACAAGAAACATCGTGCAAGACCCTATGCAAACTGCCACTCCGCAGAAATACCAACGACGACCTCCGTGGAGGAGGGCGGGGGAATAGAGGCGGAGGACGGAGGAGGGAGGAGGAGGGAGGATGAGGAGACACGCCCTCGATGAGCATCTCGGCTGCTACCTGGGCTCCTGGCCGGCCCGAACAAACTCACGACGACTGACGGCCGAAAGTCTGTTCAACAGGGCTCCACCACGCAGGACGAACGGTGCGGCACCAATCCGACTGGACTGCAGCGCTGACGGCGAACGCCTGCCAGAGAGGCGAGGGGCCAGGGGTGGACAGGAGACCCGAGGGCACGGACGAGTTTTAGTTTACAACTGCCCGCTGGCTTCTCGCCTCTTCCTCCCGCTCCTTCTCCTCTGCCCTCTCCCCACTCGCATTGGGCACATGTGAGAGTTCCGCCGTCATCACCGGTAAGGGGTACGCACGCGCGAGTTCTCTGACATCTAGTGGCGCAGTATGGTCTGTGGAAGTTATCCGGTCGGCGCATGTGTGGGTGGGCATCGGAGTCTGCAGTCAAACTCAGTCTTTTTGGGAATGGTGGTTCCACCATGCGCGATTTGCTGCTGGCCGCAGAGTGGAAGTTTTTATGACAGGAGCTCGGGACTGCAACGCGAGGAGTCAATTGGTGGATTGGTCATCGGCTGTCCGCGTCCCTCTCCCATCCCCCCTTTTTCCCCTCTCCAAAACTTGGGCTGGGAAAAAAAGTGTGTCACATTGATTCGTAATGTTGAAATCGTAGGAACGGGGTTCTTGTGCACCTTGGATTGGCAGAACGCATCGCTCATGTTGATCCGCGGTGTTCAAGTCCAAGGAATTGCGTTTTTGCATGATTGATGATTGAGGACTCTCAAACGGCTGTCCTCCCATGGGGCACTTCCCGCAACGAAAATCGAATTCTTGTGGGGACCTAATGCAGAGAGAACTCGGAAGGGGGTCTGATGCAACGCCGTTGACGCCGCCAGGCCGACCTGTGCAGCGGGCGACGCACCAGTCTGCGCCAGTCGACCCAGAGCGGCACGCAACTCCGCAACTCCTTGGAGCGGGGCTGGGGGGCCCCCGCGAGGCCGCGCGGGAGCAGGACGGGGGCGAGAACGGCAACAGTGCTGGGCCGCCTGCGCGGCGGGGCCCCCGACCCACTGCAGAGCGGGTCCGGGGCGTGCCGGGCCGCCCGGGCGACCGGCAGCGGGTCCGGCAGCCGAGCCGCCAGCTGGAGGAGCGAGGCTCCCGAGAGACGCGGCGCACGGCGGCGAGAGCGGCCGTGGGCAGCAGAGGCAGCCTCGCAGCAGCGCCACGAGTGAAGGCCACATCTGGCGCCAGGGGCTTCTCGACCTCAATCGCGACGCGGCGCGGCCTGGGAGGAGAGCCCTTGAGGGCCGCAGTGAGTGGCTTCCCCGCAGCAGATATGACCGACAGGCTGTGCGATCCTCGCCTTGCTTCATCGTCTTGCTCTCGGCGTTGCTCTGCGCGCTTCCCTCTCCCGCGGGCCGCAGGGATCCTTTGGCACGCCTTCCCATTTTTTGCGCCACCCCTGGAGAGGCCGACCACTCCCGGCCAGGTGCCCATCGGGCGCGGGGCCCTTCGGCCTGGCTGGCCCCCCTCGACCTGCCAGCGACCCACGCCCTCGGGCGGCCCACCAAGGAAGAAGGAAGGGGCATGCTGGAGGAAGTGTGAAGGGGCAAAGAGGAAGGGAAAGGACGAGGAGGAGAAAGAGGAGAAGGGAGGGGTGGGAGGAGGGAGAATGGAGGAGGGAGAGGAGGAGGCGAGGGAGGAGGAGGAGGAGGCGGAGGAGGAGGAGGAGGAGGAGGGAGGAGGAGGAGGAGGAGGAGGAGGAGGAGGAGGAGGAGGAGGAGGAGAGGAGGAGGAGGAGGAGGAGGAGGAGGAGGAGGAGGCGCGCGGCGCCAGGACACGTGCCCTTGTGCGGGAGCGCCCGGCACTCCGCCATCGTCGCCGCCGCGCGCAGGCGGTGGAGCCTGGGGCAGTGGGCCCCTCGCGCGGGGGGGCCCTCCTCGCCGCGGCCCGCCCCCCGCGGCCGCCCACTCTGTGCAGCCTCGCGGCCGCGCGTCCCCCGAGCACCGCCCTCGCGGGGGGCAGCGCCCGCCTGCGCAAGCCGAAAGGGTCGCCCCCTGGCGGCCGCGGCGCAGGTGCGGCTTTCAGTTCCAGGAGCCCTCTGCCGCCAGCCGCCTCGCAGCTGAGGCCAGGGGGCGTCGCCTTCTTCGGGGACCCCTCGCCGCTGGTCCTCGCTATCTTGAGCCTTGGGCTCCTGCCTGTGCACGCTTCCTAATAGCGCCGTGTGCCGCAGGCGAGCGTGGTATGGTTCCTGCCTCCTTCCACTGGCGAGGGCCACTGCCTGGCGCCGCCAGTAGGGCCGTGCTCACCAGGGGCGGTGCCGATGTACCTTCATAGGCAGGAGGCGGACCCCGGCAAGCGCCGGCGTTGCCCGTCTCCCAAGGCAGCTTGGCAGCTTTTTGGGGTTTGCTGAACCCCAGCGCACAGTGGCGCGTGCTCTCGCTTCCCTTGGTGCTTCTCTCCGCGTTGTGCCCGCCGCCCCTGTCCCCTCCTGGTGCGTCTGTGCTGTCCGCTGCTGGGCGCTGACGGCCCCGTGGGGGCGCGGCGCGGGGCAGCGTATGGAAGCCTGTGCCGATGAGTTCTGCGGCGCTTGGTTAGACGTGGTGCTTCTTTGTCAGCGGAGCGGGCGTGGGCGCTCTGCTGGCCACGCCGCTGCGCGCGGGAATCTGGGCCAAGCTCCCCGAACCCGCCCGCATTCGAGCAGGTGCCCGCTGCTGGGCTTCAGCGGCCACTTTCGAAGCGCAGTGCGAGACGGCGTATCGAAGATGAAAGCTGCGGGGCTCTGCCTCGCCTGGCGAGGCAGTGCGGTCTCAAGGTGAGCGCGCCTTGTCTTGAGCGGGGGTAGTGGTTCCACTCTTGCACAGATCCAACACAGGCGCGACTGGTTCTGGTTGATGAACCCACGCTGTGCCCAGCGTTCGTTGGCTTCGGGTGGCCGCAAGCCTAGCGGAGGGCATAGGTGCAAATGGGGGCGTCTCGTAAGTGGCGCAGTGGCACGAGGGCGAACAGTGCATGATACCATGGTCTTTCCTTTTTTCTCGCTTGGTCGATCTTGCACATGGTGCCTACTCTTCTCTGTCACCCCAAACCGCCGACGTCCGCATTTGTTGTCAACATCGTCCCACTTCTGGGGTCAGCTCTTTGTCGCCGATCGTTGATTCGTTGCCGGGCCTCGCGGCCGGGACACGACCCCTGGACGCCAAAATTGTGTCAGACCGCCCGCCGTGATTTCTCCTAGACGGCTTGGGGCTGGGGTGTTCTGCTCGCCGTCAAGAAAGAGGGGCTCCGGAGGACCACGGGTCCTCTAGCCCGAGGCGCTCCCATAGGAGCAGTTTTTCATCCTGGGCAGTCTTTGGCCCGTGGAGTCCCGTCCTCCCTCCCTCCCGCCCGGAAGAGCGGCGAAGCACTCTCCGGACCCCCCTGTCGTTCCATGAGTCGTTGCCTTCGTGCTGGCACGCCGCCGGGGGCCGCGCTGGGCTAGAGGACGAGGACGAATCCGTTCCAGCGCGTTCCGGAACGCTCTCCGAGCGTTCCGGAGCGCTCCGAGAAGGCCGCGGCGCCCGAGACGTCCTCCAGAGCCGCCAGGTCGCAGAGATTCTCGATTCCTCCTCGCCTGATTTTTTATCCTCGCCCTGGCTTCGTCTCAATGGCCCTCTCCTTCATGGCGGCCTCCGCGGGCCGGGGCTGGGGCGGCGCCCTCTCCTGCGAGAGCTTTCCGCGCTCCCTCCCGGACGGGCTCCCAGAGGCCTCCTGGATGGGGTCCGAGTAGATTCAAGCAGTGGCGAAGCGTCCTGGCTTGCCTATAGGCCCACCACAGAATGTTCTAAGAACCTTTTGCGGTCCGCACGAGATGGTCTTAGACCATTTCTGGCTGATGCTTTCTTGTTTTAACGCATCGGGCTTCTGTTCTAATAACAGTGTTTTTTACTGGAGCATTCTCGGGTTCTTAGAATATGTCGGTGTAGCTGAGAATCTTTCGCTGTAGGCCTAGAGGAGTGCCGGGACGGTCGGTCCCTGCTCAATACATGGGGTCGAAGTCACCACCCACCAAACCACCCCAACCCAACCCGAAGGCCCAAATTTATCCTCGATTTCCAGTGGGGGGGGGGTCGGGGAACATCGACAAAAACGCATGTGGAACCCTTACCCCCCCCCCAACCCGAAATTCGGGTCTTCGGGTTGGGTTGGGGTGGTCTGGTAGGTAGTCACGAAGGATCGCGCCGAGTTGATCCTCGCCCTCCTCCTCGCCCTCCTCGCCCTCCTCCTCGTCCTCCCCTCGCCCTCCCCTCGCCCTCGTCGCCCTTCTCGCGCCCTCCTCGCCCTCCTCCTCGCCCTCCTCCTCGCCCTTCTCGCCCTCGCCCTGGCCTCGTCTCATCTCCAG